CCCAGCCAAAAAAAAAAAAAAAAAAAAAATTAAATTCTGTATTATTTTAGCTGCTTGTTCTGAATGTTAATGTCAGGCAGAGATATATGATTACGTTGGTTTTCTTAATCCAGTATAATCTCTATGCAAACCCCTACCATAAAAATGCACCTACCATTTTGCCCTGCATTTGAAAAAAAAAAAAAAAAAAAAAACGCCACTATTGAAAAATAATAAGTAAATAATTTAAAAAACAAATAAAATATGAAATAAAGAAAAATAAAAAAGGTAAAACCAAAATAATAAATAATAAAGATTAAGCTGGTAATACTGAAATAAAAAAATAAAATGGTAAAACTGAAATAATAACAGATGAAGAAAACATGAACACCTACCCTGCGGGCTTGTCAGTGGATGAGGAATGTGGGGTGGGGACCTCAGGTGCGCTGGCACGTGTTGTGGGGTCTGCGGCGTGCGCGGGCCATCCCCTGAGAGATGCCTCACATCCGAGCTGCGACGACGGCTGTTCATTCGGGACTGGTATAGCTCTGAGTTAACGTCGTAGTCCGAGTCTTCAAACTCCCCCTTGGACACCTGATCAATGACCTTGTCGATGTTACTGAGCACTATGGGAGCTGCTGAAGTCACAGCTGCCACTGGCGTTGGGTTTTCTGTGGATACAGCTGGCAGTTTGGTTTGCGCTGGCTCTGGAACTTTCACAAGACCTTGTGACGGGGCAGGTTGAGACACATCCTCAATTGCTGTAGCCTGGTTTGATGATGGTGTCTCTGAGGCCCCTGAAGGCGTGGGAACAATGTCATCAGACATGGCCAAAAGAGCGCTCACAGCGCAAGCATCTTCTGCGATAGATTCTGCTGTGGGCTGACTTAACTCCAACTCATTAGAATTGAGGGAATTTTCATCAGCTTCTTGGGATTTTTCTTCCTCTTCGGTAACTCCATACCCTGGGCAAACTCTGCCTTCTTTGTCCCTGAACAACCCAGTGACAGGGTCCAGAATGGGTTCATCTTTCTCTCTGCCACCGTCAGTCTCACTGTTTTGAGTGTCTGACTTCTTTTTGACCCCACTGCGAACCCCTCGGCTTTTCTTGGCTTTATCAGCCTGCTCACCACCAGGTGTAACTTCTGATGATGACTCAGATACTGATGTCTTCTGCACTCTCATTGGTGGAATAGGAGAGGAATCTGGTGAATCCTGCCAATCAAATACAGACATGCTTTTAGTTTCGGTGGTGGTCTCTTTATCAGTGTCTCCCGATTTTTCAGCCTCCTTTTCCTTTTTGCCTCGTACAAGTTTCTCAGATTTCACAGGAGTAGCCCCAGCAGCCTTTGGGGGTGGTTGCGTCTTCGANATTATTGAACATTTTCAACCGGAGGCCCCCTCCATGCATTGACAGCAGCCACCATGTTAGTCGTGACGTCAGCCTTCTTCACCATGTGACACCTAGGGGGAGTGCCTTTGCCCATATACGTCTCATCTATATGTATGCTTTTTAAAGCTTTAATAGATCATCAGAATTAAGTTCACTGATAAATTCAAAATGAAAAGTATTGTTTGGCAAGTGAAAGCGGGACGTTACTCACAGAATGTGAAAGGCTTAGCAGCAATCTAGTACGGGAAATATACAGCTGCACAGTGGAGCTGCCAATCAAACACATATATGGACAAGTGTGACCTACTTTAAAACTCAGACACGCTACCACAGGGGTAAATCACCAATTAGGCTAAAATTACGGGTTTATGTGTAAACTTCCATTATGTTAAGATAGGCTGATATGTAGTTGATATTTCATCTATCTAATACTGGCAAATTCAGAAAAACACCCAAATTTTACTGTTTTACTGTTAATTACTACCTTAATCCAGTATACAATTCCACTGAATGTTACTGAAAATCAAGATTGAAATTTCTAGGCAAACCCCTACCATAAAATGCACCTGCCATTTTGACCTGCATTTGAAACAATACAGGTATAAAAAAAAATGCCACTATTGAAAAATAATAAGTAAATTATTAAAGAATAAAATAACAAAATATGATATAAAGAAGATTAAAATGGTAAAACCAAAATAATAAAGATTAAGCTGGTAAAACTAAAATGAAAAAATAAAGTAGTAAAACTGAAATAATGATAAATAATGACAAACATGAACACCTACCCTGCGGGCTTGTCAGTGGATGTGGAATGTGGGGCGGGGACCTCAGGTGTGCTGGCACGTGTTGTGGGGTCTGCGGTGTGCGTGGGCCATCCCCTGAGAGATGCCTCACATCAGAGCTGCGACGACGGCTGTTCATTCGGGACTGGTACAGCTCTGAGTTCACGTCGTAGTCCGAGTCTTCAAACTCCCCCTTGGACACCTGATCAATGACCTTGTCGATGTTACTAAGCACTACGGGAGCTGCTGAAGTCACAGCCGCCACTGGCGTTGGGTTTTCTGTGGATACAGCTGGCAGTTTGGTTTGCGCTGGCTCTGGAACTTTCACAAGACCTTGAGACGGGGCAGGTTGAGACACATCCTCAATTGCCGTAGCCTGGTTTGATGATGGCGTCTCTGAGGCCGCTGAAGGCGTGGGAACAATGTCATCAGACATGGCCAAAAGAGCGCTCACAGCACAAGCATCTTCTGCGATAGATTCTGCTGTGGGCTGACTTAACTCCAACTCGTTAGAATTGAGGGAATTTTCATCAGCTTCTTGGGATTTTTCTTCCTCTTCGGTAACTCCATACCCTGGGCAAACTCTGCCTTCTTTGTCCCTGAACAACCCAGTGACAGGGTCCAGAATGGGTTCATCTTTCTCTCTGCCACCGTCGGTCTCACTGTTTTGAGTGTCTGGCTTCTTTTTGACCCCGCTGCGAACCCCTCGGCTTTTCTTGGTTTTATCAGCCTGCTCACCACCAGGTGTAACTTCTGATGATGACTCAGAAACTGATGTCTTCTGCACTCTCATTGGTGGAATAGGAGAGGAATCTGGTGAATCCTGCCAATCAAATACAGACATGCTTTTAGTTTCGGTGGTGGTCTCTTTATCAGTGTCTCCCGATTTTTCAGCCTCCTTTTCCTTTTTGCCTCGTACAAGTTTCTCAGATTTCACAGGAGTAGCCCCAGCAGCCTTTGGGGGTGGTTGCGTCTTCGACGGCGTCAGAGCAGCTTTGGGAGAGGCGGCAGACCCTTGCCTGGTAGCTCTAGGAGAAGCCGCTTTAGGGGATGGCGTTCTACTAACCCTGGGGAGGGTTGTGATGAAATCTTGACTGTAAACTTTGGGTTTGGTGCGCCTGCCCCGTTTAGACCTTGGAGAGTCAGAATCATCCGTTGCCGCTTCTGCTGTAGAAGTTTCATTGGCTGACTGCTCAGGTGGTGCCTCTTGCGTCTGACCTTTGCCCTGTTGGCTGTCATCCCCGCTGGCAGCCAAGTTGCTCTGGCGTGCAGCTTTCCTCCTGGGTTTAGCTTTACCAGGAGTAGAAGCAGCCTCCAAATGGCTACTTTCGTCGGCTGACATAGTGGCGCTCTCTCTCGTGATCTCATCAAATATCAGGTCTAAGGAACTCTTCTGAACAGGCTCAGACTGGCTCTTACTGGAGACTTCAACCATGGGATCATCTGGATCACTTTTGATGTTTCGCTGAGCATTCTCTTTAGGGGGTGCTTTATTTCTTTTGCTTGCATCGGATAATTTTGGCTCGGTATCAGATTTTTCTCCATCCTTCCCCACGGTGCCTTTCTTAGCTTTGTTCTTTGATGCGACTCTCTGTGCTTTCTTAGGGGACCCAATGGGAACTTCCAAATCGGCGGTATTCACACTATCTGCCTCCTCACCTTTTTCTTCCTTGGAAGTTTCATGTAGCTTTGGCAGTTCCATATCTTGCCCACATTCTGTCTGAATTTCAACCGTTTCTGCAACACTTTCAATGGGCACGTTTTCCAGCCTATCATCATCACTTTGCTTCTCAACTACAGGACTTGATTCTTTTTCCACTTTTATTTTGAAATCACCATGATCTTGCTTTGCGGACTGATCCTTCAGACCTTGTTCAACAGTCACGCTTACATCATGTTCATTGTCTTCTGTAGCTTTAGCTTGCTCATGTTCATTTTCCGTCATGTCATCTTTCAGTATACTTGCTTTCTGTTTCTTCTTTTTCTTCTTTCTCTCTTCATCTTTCTTGGCCACAGTTTCATCACCAGGCTTTGCATCAGGTTTACTTCCTTGGACAACGTTTTCTAACAAATTAGCATTACTTGGTTCCCCAGATTGTGCTGATTTTTGTACAGTGGGTTGAGTTTCTGATAATCTTGGATGCTTGCTCTCCACCTTCCCAACCTTACTGCCTTGTTGGGCCTCTTTCTTTCCCTTCACAGTCTTTTTACTTGCATCCACTGTCGCAATAAAGGCTTCTTTTCCCTCCTCTCTCTCCCCTTTACATGATTTAGATTCCTTGTTAAGATGTGTGGTAGGCAGACCGGAGTCAGCAGATGGCTTCTCAGCTTTTATTTGCTGGGGCATTGGTAATTTGGTATCAGAGTCCTTACTGCTTTCATTTTGATCAGTCAGTTTGTCTTCTCCTCGAGTCTCCTCAGACTCGGTTGTGCTTTCCCTTTTTGCCTTCACTTTCTTTGCTGCTTCCTTATTGGCAGCGATTTTCTTGAAAATATTGGCTTTCTTTTCATCCATTTTTTTCTCAAACATTTTCCCACCTTTTGTTGGAGTCTTGGTTGCTTTTTTCTTATTTATTTCTTCATCACTGTCTTCTTCGGATTTAACTTCGGTTTTCACCTCTAATGGTATTTCTTTTGTTGTCTCTTTTATGGGCTCTTTTTTCCCAATCATCTTCTTCAAAGCTTTGGTCTTTTTGGGTGTTTTCTTGGGTGACTTCATGGATTCGTCTTCTGACTGTGGTTGTTCTTCAGACTTGCTAGGAGTGTCTTTGTTGCTTGCTATCTTCTTGAAAATATTTGCTTTAGTTTCATCCATTTTTCCAGCTTTTGATTTCTTGGCATGTTTCTTGGATGCTGCACCATCATCGGTCTCTTCTGATTCTGAAGAGAAGTAATCACCGACTTTCAATTTCTCTTTACTGGACTTTGTAGATGGCAAACTAAATTCATCAATCCCAGAGGAATCCTCTGTAGAGATGGCCATTGGCTTCGCCTGCTTCTTTGTTGATTTTGCAACTGCTTTTTTCCCCTTGCTAACTTTAGGTAGGTCGATTTCGGTGTCCTCACTCTCACTTGTTTCATGTAACGGTTTAACCTTTGGAGATTGCTTCTCTTCATCTGCATTAGAGTCGGTATCCTCATCCGAAGTCCAAATGGACTGTTTTTGTTTCCTCAAGGTGGTGGACTTGACAGTGGCTTTGATACTGACATCAGAGTCGGAATCCGTAGTGAACCCTACTGACTTTCCCTTTTCTGTCTTCTTCTTGGGCACTGGTTTCTTCTTCGCCTTGTTTGATTTCGGCGCAGGATCTTGTTTGCCTTTCTCCTTGGAGGATGTAGATTTCTTTGAGACACGTGACAACACAGTCTCTGATTCCAAGTCAGACGATGAGTCAGCACTTTTCTCGCTGTTTTCCTCTTCCTTATCACTGTCCTCATCAGAGGAGCTGTCTAAAATAGGTTTCTTCATCCTGTTGGTTTTAGTTTCTCCTGTTTTTCTCTGACTTCTCTTCACAGTTTTCCTGGGACTTCCTCTCCCCCAATTGTCTTCGCTATCTTCCTGACTCTCCGAATCAGTTCCAGTTTCATCATCTTCGCTGCTGTCCGACTCCCCACTTTTCCTGCGCCGTCTGCTCGCCTTGTTGCCTGCGTCTCTGCTTTTGGGTTGTCGCTTGTTCTCCTGAATCATGCTAGATCTCCGCTTGACTTTGTCATACATTGACACATATGGTTCAAACAAACCGTCACCAAACACTTCACTGTTGGACAGTAAGTCCCGCTGTTCACGTGTCAGGTCAAATAGGACTGGATCTAAACGATGCTGCTCGGGTTTTTTCTTTTGGCTTTTTTCCTTCTCTTTCTCCCTCTCCTGTGTCCTTTTCTCTTCTGCCTTGTCTTGGCTCGGTTTGGATTTCTTTACATCACTTTTGCTTTGCTGTCTGTCGTTGCCTCTCTTTGCTGGGGTGGACTTTGGATTGGACTTGGTCTGGTCTACCTTGGTGTGTTTTTCAGCTTTGGTGGGCTCTTTCTTAGCAGCATCTTTCTCTTTTGTAGACTTGCTGGTTTTTGAAGCATGTGGTGAGCTGCTCTGCGATCCCTTGTCTCCACTGTCCTTAAATTTCTTCTGATCAGTATTCTTGTTTGCAGGTCTCCCACTTTTTTCCTCCATCTTGACTTTTGAGGTCTCCACATCATCAGCAGCCTTCTTATTGGTTTCATTTTTCTCCACTTTTTGCTTTGATTTTGAAGTATCTTTGTCAACTTCTTTTTTGGTTTTCTCATTCTT